AGGAGAATTAATTTATTTTAGTCTGACCCCAGTCCCATCCGCTAACATGGAGGAGGCGGGGTTTATGACCTATACTGCAGCCAGACACCAGGGGGCGATAGAGACGTTTTGGCTTCATTTTTGGGGAGCTGACGCTCGTCCATGTTTTCTACAGTCAATGGGTGGAACACAGAGGTCTTACCCTGGAAGCTCACATAGGCAATTTTGGACAGCTGACTGAACTTTGGTCCTCCTGGAATCAGGATCTTCTGGGTTGCTTCAGACACAAAACCAGGTGCGTAACCAGTAAGCATGGCAATATGAAGTCAGGGTCACCACTGCATGATCTACCAATTAGGGATCAGCACAACATTTACTGGATCTATTCATCCTGTTAGGATTTTTACCACGAGGGTTACATTACTACTACCTGCCAGTAGGTGGCAGTATGGCAGTACAGTGACTGCCTTCTGTACCTTTCTTCTCATAGCCTTTGTCCTCTTTCTCCTTCTCTCCTTCGGCTTTAGATTTTTCTTTAGTTTCCTCTTTGGCTTCAGGCACTGCTTGGTTCAAAAAGAAAATAAAATACTTAATTTGTATGAGAATTTTGATGTTTTCTGTTTACATTTCTTCTAAAACACACTAAAAACCTGCCATTAATGCTTCAATAGAAAATGGTTTCAAAATTTGCATAAACCTACAATCCGCCCAGTGTCAGTAATCTGACCAATCATGTCATGATGGAGAAATCTCCAAAGGTTCCACTTAATCACTGAAACTTTCAGCCATGGAAACAGTACCTTCCCCTTGGGCAAGATACTAACCCCAAGTTGCTCCATCGGAGTATGAATTTGTGTGCATGTACTTAGAAAGCACTAAGTTTAGAGTCAGTGCTTGTGAGAATGGGTGTGATTGGGTGAATGTGACATGTTGTATAGAGCGCTTTGAGTACTCCGGGAAAGTAGAAAAGCGCTATATAAGAATCAGTCCATTTACCATGGATGGATGGGTTGATGGGTGGAGTAATCTATTAACAACAAGGATACTTTCTACACTAATATCTGTTGACTGTGAATCCTAATCTGTTGTTTTTGTACCTTTTTCCTTTGTTGCCTCTCTTGTCATTTCTTGTTTCGAGTCTGTCTTTTCCTCAAACTTCAACCCTCCTGATGGTTCAACAGATTCCTCTCCAGAAGACGTTCTTTCCTTTTTGTTTGCTGTAGAATCTACTGCAGGATTCTCACTGCCTGGATCCACTCTTGGATCCACATTAGGAATGTTTCTGTATGGCACAGAAGAATCTGGACCACTTGATTCAGATTTTTCATTTCCTGTCTCTCCTCTGCCTTGCTTTACTGCAAAAGATTCCTGTCCAGCATTGATAGAATTAGATCCAGGCGTTTCAATATTGTCACTTGAAACATTGCCAGGTTCAACCACAGGCATGGGCTGAGAATCGGATCCTGAATCTTGTCCAGGGCCAGCTGACTTTGGGTTTTCTGGAACTGGGAAGGTAAAGTCAACAGGTGCTAAATCACCAGCAGGGTCAGACTGATCTATAGTAGCGGACTTTGTGTCTGATACAGGACCACCTCCATAGGGAGGCAACACGGAGTCCACAGGAATATCTGGAGCTGGAGGGGTAGCATCAAGAGGACGTATTTCTGGAGATGCCCCATCAGGAGAAGGTACATCAGGAGGAGAAAAATCTACTGAAGTATCTGGTGTCTTAGTGGATGGCCCATCTGGAAGTACATCTGGAGAAGGTGGATCAGGAAAAGGTAGGTCAGGAGGAGGTGTATCGGGAGGAAATACATTACGAGAAGGCGGGTCGGGAAGAGGTACATCAGGAGCAGGTATGTCAGGAGGTGGTCCTTCCAGAGAGAGATCAGGACGAGGAAGTTCTTGAGTAGGTACCTCAAGGAAAGATATATCAGTAGGAGCTCCATCAGGAGCTGGAACATTGAGGGAAGATAAAGCAGGAGGAGATGGTGCATCTGGAAACAGTACATTGGGGGTTGGAACAAAAGGAACTATTTCATCAGGAGTGAGTGTATCTGGAGATGATAGATCAAGAGGGGGCATTTCTGGTAGCTGTACATTATTAGTAAGTGTAACCGGAGATGATGCATCAGGAGAAAGTGTATCCGGAGATAGTACATCCAGTAAAACATCAGGAGAAATTACATCAGGAAGGGCTTCATTAAGAGCAGAAGGTATATCCACAGAGGGAGCTTCCAGTGGTAGATCTGGAGGAGGTACAGCCAGAGGAGGTATATCAGGACGAAGAAAAATTCCATCACGTTTTGTTGTAAAGAGAGTATCTCCAGCCTGACTGATACGGACAGATCCAGTGGGGAGAAAGTCTTCAGATTGAGACCCGTCACCTGGGGAAAACGTTTCTGGGATGGTTGTTAGAGGCAGAATTCCAGCTGATGGTGTTGCGACAGTAGGTGACACAGCACTGGTCACCACCTTCGATATATCAGTCCCAAGCACACCAAAGTCTGAAGTGGAGTTATAGGGTGGACCCAGTGGGTCAGAGATAGACCCTCCAGTGTCAGTACTGCTGCCTTGGACAGTGGGAGTGGTACTAGTAGGACGGCTGGTGGTACTGTCTAGTACTCTGGGAGGTGGTTTTTCTCCAGTCTTCAGACGTGGAGTGTTGGGTGGAGCTGTGTCTGTGGTAGGTCCAGCTGTACTGAATGAGTCTGTAAAGGCAACAGAACCTGTAGTACTAATAGTACTACGGACAGCAGTAAGAACTACTGTACCAGTTATGAGTGTTGAGGTAGAGTCCATAGCAGTTAAAGGAAGGTCAGCTGAATCATTACTACTAGTAAAGTAAGTCACAGTACTAGAGTCAGTCATGTATGTACTGGTACTTGAATTGCCTCCAGTATTAGTAGAAATATCAGCTGAAACCATAAGAGGACCCTCTGTGCTGTTATCAGACATTAATGTGTACATGAATGTAGTCAAAGGAATGTCTTTAGGAGAAGTTGGGTCATTCAAAGTCTTATCAGTCATGCGGTTAGTAGTACTCAAAGCTGTATTACTATCAGTTTTAGTAGTACTGTCAGTTACAGTATAAGTGGCTGTAGTACTGTCACTGCTAGTTGTAGTAGTAGTACTGTCAGTTACAGTATAAGTGGCTGTAGTA